AGACAGAGAGACAACAGATTCAAGAGCCTCAGTGAATATTTTCAGGCAAAATATCTAAGTTCACCTTTTTTTGTTTGTTTGTCTGTCTTTTTGAGACAGAGTCTCACCATGCAGTTCAGGCTGGCTCACTTTGTACCCCAGGCTGGTTTTGAACTTACAATGATCTTCCTATCTCAGCCTCTTGAACGATAGGATTATAGGCATGTGCCACCACACCCAACATAGATCACCCATCTTTTTCAATGCCTCTCTCCTGTAAAATGGGTCTTTCACCTATGAATTGAGTGCATGCTTCCTAAAAATTCACAAATTCCCCAGTTTCCACTTCTAAAGCTACATAAATCTTTCCAGCTCCAGACCATTTTAATGCTTCTCTCTTGAGGCACACTCTATTTTCTTTAAGTATGTACTTCTGTAACTACTCCCACCTACAGTCCTGGGAATTGAATCCAGGGCCTTTCCCCACTGAGCTATACCTGCAGTCCTTTTAAAATATTTTTAAAATTTTGCAATTTCAAAATTGCAATTCTCCTGCTTTGCCCTCCCAGGAATTGCAGGCATTCACTACTACTCCTGGCTGAGTGTGTACATATTTCTTTTCTTTTTTTTTTTTTTTTTTTTTTTGCCTTTTTGAGGCAGGATCATACTATGTAGTTCAGGCTGGCCTTGAGCTCACTTCATAGCCCAGGCTGGTCTTGAATTCAAAGCGATCCTCTTGCTTCAGTCTCTTGAGTACTGGGATTACAGGCATGTGCCACCACACCTGGCTTAATTTTTTTGAGGGGGTACTGGGGGATTGAACTCAGGACCTTGCACTTGCCAGGCAAGCCCTTATGCCGCTGAGCTATCTTCCCAGCCCCATAGTTCTTAAAATCTGCCTAATAAAACCTTGCTGGGCTCCTCACTAATGCATCCTGGCATTGAGCTGAATGGAGATCAGGGAAACTCTGGTGACCCATTAAAGGACTAGATGAATGCCCCAGCTATCAGGGCTTGGCACCTCCTGCCCAGCTGTGGGGTGGCCCAGGCCATGGGGTCTCAGGCCTCTGTCCACAGGGTCAGAAGCCTATGGAAATGGTCAGTTTGCCCAAGGAAGAACATCTGTCTTAGTGTGTTTACTATTACTATAACTGAGTGCCACACACCCAGTAGTAGTTTATAAATAAAATAGAAATTGACTTAGATTCTAGTTCTGGAGGCTGAACTCCAAGTGGGTGGCACTAGCGATTCTTCATCATGTGGTAAAAGGTCTTTTATTTTTGAAGCAGGGTCTTACTATGTAGTTCAGGCTGGCCTCAAACTCACTATGTAGCCTGGACTGAATTTATACTGGTGACGATCATCTTGCCTCAGCCACCCAAGGGCTGAGATTGTCTGGCTGAAGGTCTTCTTGCATGATAACATGACGGAGGCCATTACACAGTGAGACAAAGAGCAACATCACATGTCAGGGAGCAAAGCCACTCCCTGGATAACCTACCACTGTGAGTGGCTTAATCCAGGAAGGATTAAGGACCTTAATCTCCCAGGACCCAGTCACCTCTCAAAGGCCCCACCTCCGAATACCATTAATGTTCAAATTTGGAGATAAAAGTTTCCATGGCATGGAATTTGAGGGATACATTTTTCTTCTGTTCTACATTTGAAATAGGATAGAAAACACACAGATCACAAGGAAAATCATAACTAAAAATTGTACTTTTAAAGAGACTGCAGGCGTTGTGGCAATGACTGTGATCCTAGCACTTGGGAAGCTGAGGCAGGAGGATCACCACAAGTTTACAGCCAGCCTAGGCTACATAGTCAGTTCAAAGATAGCCTAAACTACATAATGAGATGATCTCAAAACCACGCCAAACCAAACCAAATCCTGAGGTTGGGATTAGATGTGGACCCCAGAAGCCCCTGACCTTGAAAGTGAGGAGGGAAAGTGAGTGAAAGCTGGGTCTGGGACCCCTCACCCCTGGGTGGCAGTTTCCCTCTCCACAGTGGGTTTGGAGGTCTGAAGGGACCAGCTGTAGGACAATTCTTCATTCAACCAGGGCCACTAAGTATCTCCAGTTCTACCCCCAAGCAGCTGGTGGACCCAGGAGCTCCTCAGACTGCACCACTGTGTAGGTTCCACAGGGCCCTTAGTGAAGGTCCTTGCTTTTGTCCCTGGTACCTTCAAAAGAACAGTATATAGAGGCAGAGGTAGCTTCCATATAGAGTGGGATCTTATTGGCTGTGAGCCCCAGAGAAGTTTCCAGAGGGACTTACGATTTGAGAACCAGCTGAACTCTTCCTGATATGCCGAGGTGAAGATATTCTGTGCTGCTTACTATCCAGCCAGAGCAGGCCTGGAGCTAACAAGGACTCTAGACCAAGGAGGGAATGGATTCACACGGGCCCTCACTTGAGCCTGCCTCACATGGAGGGACTTGGAGCTACGGGTGTACTGGAGGAAGCTGGTGAGGGCCCTTTCTGTTCCTTTCCTCTGTGCTCAAAGTCCACATCTAATCCCAACCTCAGGATCCTGGGTAAAGGAAGGCCACCACCATCCAGAGACTGGTCTGTCCCCTCCTTAGGCAGAGGTGGGAGCTACATTTCCTGTTTCCACAGGTGGCACCTGAGGTGGCCATGCTGGCTCAGCCCAGCAGGGGGCAGTGTCAGCATGCAGAAAAGGCCACCAGGGGCTTAGCGGCACCTGGCTGGGTTGGGGCCCTGGCTTTGAAGCAAGGACTTTATCCCTTGAAGTGGTGGCAGTGTGAAGAATTTGCATCCATGGTTGTTTCCTTCAGACCCCCAAACCCCACTGTGGAGAGGGAACCTGCCAACCAGAGGTGAGGGGTCCCAGACCCGGCTCTCACAGCACTTTCACTCCTCATTTTCAAGGTCAGGCGCTTCTGGCTTTTGCTTAGGCTTGCAGGGAAGTGGTCAATGGCGCAGGAAAGGGGAGGGCTGGCAGTAGGGGAAGTAGCTTTTGGGGAAGCTGGGAGGGGTCATGAAAGCATGAAATGATTGCTGAAACAGTGATAAGGCCTCAGGGCCTCTCAGAAGATGTGATGGAGCAGGGTGTCATCCTGCAGGTATAGCAGGCCTCAGCTGTACCATGTCCCTCATGACTAGCATAGCAATCCTGCTCTCAACCAGGGCCACTAACTGTCTCCATTCTACCCCCAAGCAGCGGGGGGGGGGGGACCCAGGAGCTCCTCAGATCACACCACTGTATAGGTTCTACAGGGTCCTCTTCAGACAGACACAGGAGCAAGGCCACCATCTGTCCTGGCGAGGAGCCAGACCTACCTCGAGAGGACAATGTGACAGAAGAAACGGGGAAGATAGTTCCGCATGGAGAAGGTCTCTGGGCTCCACACTCTGCTTCCTGGCTGCTGTTGATACCATGAGAAAGTTACAAACCAGGGCACTTGTCTTCAGTTCTTCTTTTTGTTAGCACATGTTTACAGGACACGGTGATCATGTTCATTGTGCGGAGTTGGCACATACATGGCTCACATCTCAGTTCTTTTGTTTTAAATCCCCTTCCATCTCTTCTGTCTCTTGCCCCCGCTTCCTTTTGGGAAGGATCTCTCTCCTAGTTTCCTATTATCTTCTACTCTGGGTGTCTCGTAAAAAAGAAATCTTGGGATATTTGAGCTTGGATGTCTAATGTATATTTCACTTAGCACTATGGTCTCAAAGTGCATTCATTTTCCTACAAAAGACTCAAGTTGATCCTTCCTTATGCAGAGTTGTACCAAATCATAACACTTACAAAGTTTTGTTTGCTAATCACAGTCATGTGGGGTTAAATGATGGGAGCAAGTTCCAAGAAATTTGTCACAAGGTGTTTTCATCATGTGACCATCAAGGTACCTCTGACTATGCACCTAGGCTGTATGGTGTGATATGTAGTTCTCACAAATGTAGTGCAATGGCATTTGTGTATCTAAATGTGACTAAACATAACCATGTGTGTAAACAAATAAGAACAAAAATGTATAATAGATATTGTAAAATAAGAAAATGTTCAAATGGGAAGGGACTAGGGAGGCAAAAGTGGAAAGGAAGGAAGGGGAAATAAGTGAGAAAAGGAGGAAAAAATGAGAACAAACTTGTTTTCTCTCTTTTGTGTTTTCTTTTTCCAGAGTGTGCAAGCTGTATGTGTGTATGTGCGCACCCGCATGTGTGCATGTGATGTGCGTGTGTTGCCTGTGATCTGCAGGGGCTGCTTGCATGCCTATGGCGAGCAGGTCCCTTGGGGACCGCTGCACCAGCCTGGAGAAGGTCCAGATTGCTGGGCCTCTCTGCTTGCTTAGGCTCCTCCCTGATGACTCCAGTCAAGCTGTTG